ACATCTTTCTTCTCCTCCATAAATACCACTTTTGAGTGGGTTTGCCTTGTGACTTCAAGTTCACCATCATCAGTCATTACTAGTGATAGCAATAGACCTGTAATACATACTGCTTCTCAACTTCCATGAACTCTAGGTTATATCGAAATAGTACCTGTCAGTATTAATTTTTCAACTTTTGTAGGCTAGTGAACTAAAAACGTTCGGATAAGTTGCTCATTTACTCCAAATGACAGGGTGGAGCGTTTTAATGGAGCACCGCACCAGGACAATGTTCTGTTCATGAGCTGACTCACTCACGCTCCCGTTAGACCACACCCCTTCCATGCACCAACTCTGTACAAACACATGCACAACTTAATTCTCTTTTGACAGTTTTTTTGTAACCACAAACAGGAGCATCAGTAACTGTCTGAATCACAATAATCCGGAAGCTGGTGACTGACAGGCTGCCATCGAATACGGTCATCAGTAGGGTGTCACCTTGCTGTCCGGGTTTCAGGTGAGACGACCGCGTGAACAGCGTGTTCGTGTGTTGATCTATTTACCATGTGTATTAGGCTGGGTTGTTTTTTAGAGGTTCTACTAATTTCCTCAATTGTGCAATTCTCTCTGGAAAGAAGCAATTATTGCACATTAAGGGGGTTTTTAAAAAAATTCCGTTGACATTGCGAAGGAACAGAAGAAAGATAGATCAATTGCCAGATTCTCTGCTCCGCAAGATCTCAGAAATATCTCTAGAAAACCGTTTTCGTCAAGAAATTTGATCATGGTGTTTCAGTGTTTCATCTACCCTATGAAGCCAGATCAACATTCCAAATCTCATTGAAGCCATGCTAAAAGACGTATAACTGAGAGGACAAGAGGATGACCATCTCTGGTTCTGTGGGAAATAGTTGTACAAATTCACAAGCTCAGTTCAAGTACAGTTTTCACCCATCTGAATAGATCTTAACTGAGAGGACCAGCTGGTTGGTACCAGTTTTTTCCTTGGGAGAAATACTGATTCCTCGCCTAAAAACACAACAAATGAGTGACAGTGTGCGCTTAGGTTTCACGATAGTCACTCGTTTTGGATGCCTGATCATTTGCAAAAAAGTTGCGAGTATAACCTGTATCTGGATGCAGTTTAGATGAAGAACTTCTTGGAGCTGAAAAAAGATCGGATCAACGAAAATCGGCATGGAAAAGACCTGCCAAAACAGGTGGGGTGAAACGTTCCACGACCGAAGGAACGGACAGTGGGCGTACTTGGATGAAATTTCAGAGTTAACTATCTTGTACCCATTATGTCGGCCGTGATATCTGCTTGATCCTTAAAAGTCAACCGCATAAATCCGGACCATCACCAGTAAGGTAACAAGGAAGTGGGAAAATTTTTGTTTTCTTGGTGCCCCTATGTGCCCCTTATGTGTACAGTCCTCTCACTATCCGCTTAAACAAGATAGAAATGTTTGTACACTTTGAACCGCTTTAACCGTCACACCGGTTTCCTTGAGAACGAACGTATCTGAGTGCAGGATCCACCAAAGATTCAGAAAATTCTTCTCTGTTTTTACAACATGAAGAAAGCTCGCAGAAAGAGGAGCTCGGTGGCCTTATCTGAAAAGTTCAGGGATTATAGAATCCAAACTTGGATTGCTGAAGACGACGGAAAAAATCACTCCACTCGGGTCAAAGCAGATAATATGGCCTGTAACAAGAACCATGATCTCAAAATGCGCGGTTTCCTGAAACCAAGTAAACGTGAAACCACATATTTAGCAAGTCATTCTCTCAGGAATACTTCTAACAGAAATAAGAACCTCGCCAGGGACACGCCTGTTGCAGAAAAGACACTAATCTCAGCCAGTCAGCTCTTTTCATCCGACGCAACACCTAAATTATTACAATGTGTCTACGTCTACGATCGTTCAGTGGTTCACAGAATTCAGATATTGGTAAAGTTTGTGTGNTATATATATATATATATATAACTCTTTTTGACTACTCATGAAACTCGCATAATGAAAGGCTTGCATACACTCCAGTGGACTTCGTTAGATGACATAGATGTCAGCGATTACATTGCACTCAGCTGTACCATTTGAAAGAATTGACGAGAGAATACAAACTATGTCGAATGCCTGACAGGAGTAGAGTGGTATGAACAGTTGATGATGATACCAAGTCAACCATCCTAAACCTGTCAAATCCGCGCAGGATGTCGAAGAAGAGACGACATATGGACATTCCCCAAGCTGTTCAGTAAACAGAGTAAAGTTTTCCCACTGACTACCCGAAGTTTTTTGTCACACACCGCCGGTACCTGCTGCGTAAAAACTGGCTTTTCAGTTGTTCAAGACGTTTTGTGTATGTGTGTGTGTGTGTAGATGCAGGCTGAGTCATCACACCCGAAAGGATGAATGACACATGAAAAGATGCCTTTCTCGAGAGAAGACTTTTCACCGGCTGTCACAGAGGGATGCCCAGACCGCCACATTCAGTCTCTTAACATATTATTAGACAATTCGTCTTCAAGTCTATTGTGGTGGCCAGACACTGCGTTGGGACGCCAAAGGAAAACGAAGCCACCGACAAGTCCGCAAATTTGAAGTCCATTGTTGATGTAGAATTTGACGAAGCAATAAACAAGTCTAATCAGTAGTCCCAGGGTTTTATTTGAACCGGTCGTGGCATTTGGTGTGTAGCAGGCAGGCTTCAGAAACCAGACCGTCAATTGAAATGCGAATCAAAGTTCTCACAGTTTTGAAAGTTTGAATTGGAAGTTGCTGCCAGTCTACACCGGATGAAGTGAGATGCGCTGTATGAGTGACGGATGAGTGGCAATTTATACTGTACGGAAGAAAAGCACTCTCACTGGTGATCAGCCTCTCGAATGGCCCAACGGCACAATGCTTCAATACTTACCGAGTCCATGTGCGTCTGAATCAGTTTTGCTACTGATGATATGCACCCTTTGGATTATTCTCAACAAGAATAAAACAAACGTGTAGCACCTTTTTTGGAGCAAAATGACTTAAATTTGAGAAACCGACCTCAGTTGAAAATTGGAACTTCCGTAAATGCCCAGAAATTTGAAACGTTGCCTGTTCAAACCTGTTTCTACAGTATGCACCCACCGCACCCATAGTTACTATACCAGCACCTTCCTTTCCAAACACCTGTCTGGTTATGCAAGCAGCTTTTAGTATACTCAATCGAGATTTAATCTTGCATTTAAAGTCAGTCTACGCCGAAACGCAGAAGAGTAGTGCACGGATGTGTAACTCTTATTTGGGATCCTCAGCAATGTGCATCTCATAAATTTCCAGCGAGATTCAAACTCGAAAATGTCTGGCCAGCACTTCAAGAATAGACCGTTCGGCCACATGTGACTGACCAGCGCATGCACAGTACTGATGCTTCCAAATAAGGAAAACGCAACTGTTCAACGCTATTGGGCTTTTCGAGAAAACGAAGAAAACCCCAAAATGTGCTCATAATATCAACAGGCTTAGAGCGTTGTGTAGACTATCATCATATTCACATTTTCACTATTCCAACGTTCTTTGTCGACATGTAAACTTTGGTTGTCTCTTAATTTTACTCATTACTAATTCACCATCTCCATATGGTCCTCAGTCTTCAACTGTAATTCACCACTTACCGACTAGAATCGCATTGGATTTCACCCCTTTGTATACTGATCGGATCGGCGTGTGCTCGCATCTATCCGTTTGCCTACGAGTGTTAGTGAATCACCGCAAATGAGAAGGTGCATTCTTAGCTATTGTTAAAGCATGGTCCACTCACAATTGTCTGACGTCCGTAACAGGAGTATTTAAGCAAGAATAGTGGGAAGCATGTACATTATTCTACCAAACGAAACCAACAATGATGGCCACCGCATTGTTCAGGATTGTGAGAAGATGCAAATGATCAATGTACTAATAACCAGATTTGTGGTCACTACACTGTTTGGTCTAAGAACAAGGCCATACGGAAAGGTTCGAACACAGTATCATTCTACTGAAGAAGAAACAACAAGGGGTCCGCTGGAACAAAGATCTTGTCAGTTTCGTACAAAATGAATAATACTAACAATCAGTCAGGTGTGAAACCCTGTCAGTACTCGACTGCCTTGCCACCTGAAGGAAGCACGAGGAGTGATATACGTCAGGTTGCACAAGCCTAGACGAGAGCAGTCGAGATAAAGATGTTTGGCATGTACATTCCTGTGACCAATTTTGCGCCTCAGCCTTGAGCTAGCTAGTACACGTTGATGAGGCTATGACTTTCGGTTAATTAAGCGAGACCAAAGAAAGGCCGAAGGATCTATAGAGGTTGTGCCGCAGTGCTTTGAAAGTGAGGAATACTGCACCGTCGGTGACTTAACTCTAAGCACTTACTGAGTAAATAAAAAGAGGTTATGCCATAATCTAAACTGGAAACGAGCATTGCCACTGGCGACATTTTCAGAGGAGCGCCAGACTCAGTTAAAAGTTGCTTTGAAGTAATCCGATAAGTTTTTAATCTTGACAGTGGTTTTAAAAATGTTATATAGACGTCTGATACTATGCCTTATCGAGGTTTGATTTCTTTAGATCGTTAACCCAAATCACTGTCGCTTAGGTTGATTAAAAAACACTACATCAAGTCATTTTTCGACAAGCAGGCATCTGCAAGGTCTTTTCTTTAAAGTCAGCCGTCCATGCAGGGAACTTTATGCATTCACTATACTTTCTCAAACATTTTCTCTGCTTTGATGGAACGGCTGTGGTAAATTTCACTTGTCCCGTCTCCTTGAGGTTTCAGCTGTGTCAAAACCATACTGGGGTTTCAAAAAATCATTCTCGCAATGATAACTTGTTTTTGCACATTTTTTCTCAGCACAACATGAAGGTTAGATCTCAATGTCCGTTTATTTAGAAATATTAGACAACCAACAACCGAATTTCGTTGACGACTGCGCTGTTTTCTTTATAACTAATTCTCCTACTCACTTGTACTTTTTTCAGATGAGCTATGGCAAAGCGATCTGGATTTCATCTTCCGGTCGAAGCCTCTGACCCCGAAATTGTCCAACCTTGACATTTTGGACCCAAACCAGAATGTTTTGGCCACGTCCTTAATTGCCTTGCAACCACCGGCTTTGGGAGGTCTAGGACAATTGCCACAAACCGAACAACAATTAGAATTTGCGAAAAAGCTCCGCTGGAATTCAGAAATCGGTTTATTTCGCGAAGCACTACACAGTGAGGGTGTAAGAGCACGTCGAACGTCACCAAGCAGTGGGACCCCTTCGATGGAATTAATCAACTTCCTCATTTCGGGTTGGCTCTTGTGTTGTCAGTTGTCCTCTGTATTTTGGAAGGTATCACGTCGTGCCACATGTCTCTTTGCATGTTTGGTTGCACTGACAATCGTCTATCTTACTGTGGACTATGCTGCGACAAGTCTTCTCATTAAATATGCTATATGCTTAACCGAGTCGACCGGTATGATGAGAGGAGCTGATGTACAAACATCCTTGTTGTACAAAGAATTGCGTGCCAGCTTAATGATTATCAGATCTTCCGTACGATATCCGGCGTGGGGGCTGACGTGCCTAACTGCAGCGGCTTTCATTTCTACTGTATTAAACATTCATTTGCTCTATGTTTCTGGCTGTGTGAAGTGGATGGCCACGTTGTTTGAAACGCAGCACTCCTGCTTAGCGCCCTACCTGAAGGAAGATATCGAGCAAACACACAGTAGCCTGAGCTGTCATGCATCGGGAAAAAATTCACCGCAACCGCGAATGTCATGCTGGGGTTGGAGAGATCCCACCACACCAATTCTTGACCGATATTCGACTATCATCCTTGTTTTTGGATGCTCTTGTACTGTGGCATCAGTTTTACTTAGAATACCCATTCATTATGAATTAATTTCAGTATTTCAGTCTGATGGTGGTTCTCTACTTGTTACTTCCACAATCCTGTTTATCGTGCACACAGTAGCTTGCCTTGCGTGCTGGACCTTTGCTGTCTGGTATCAATGTCGAAAGCCCCAACAACACATGAGCGCTGATACGGGAATAACGGACCAGAAGATATACCCCCAAAACCACTGCTTAGGGTTCCTAGATAAAAAAACACAGTATGCCACCTCAGACCGTACGGAAAGAAGCATTTCACTCCAAAGTCCGTGTAACGATGACCCGGTGATAGAAGAGGAAAAACCAACGTTTCATACATCGGAAAATGGAAGCACACATATCAACGGAGGAGCTTATTGGACACTATATAAACAACCGGCCTTGAAGCGAGAAGAAGCTCAAGTATACCATCAGGAATCTTTGCCCCTGTCGGAACAGAACAATAGTTTACCCTTGCCACGCAGACCCCTGCGCAATATAAAAACGCCTCTAGATTTTGAGGCAACGAGATCTTCTAACAACCGCGCTCTGGAGCAACTTTCTTTGGAGGAACACTCACGTGTTGAAAATACAATGAATTTTATTGACCGTCTCGATTCTGGGCAAATGCTGACTCTCGTCAACAGCCAGTCTTTTGGTGATCAAAACGGAAAGCCGACTGTGGAACCATCATTGCCAAACTCCTCATCATTTGCTTTCGGATTAACCCCAAACCGAATGCCAGACCTCGAAAGCGGAGTTTTTCCAAGACCAACACACCAATTGAAAATTTCTCATCCCGCCAGTCTGTTACAGGGTGGGAGCAACCATACCTCACTTTGTGTTCAAAATGCTTCTGATTCAGGTGATTCCCTATACAAACCGCATGAACCTAGCACATTTGTCGTATCATGTCTTAACGGTGGCGCTGCGAAACATTCATTGGATCCCCAGTCCAAGTGGTGGCACGCCTATCCCAGGTCTTCCGGGAGTGATATCCTTTTATCGTCCGCGCATCCAACTTCAAGTCTAAATGTACAACAGCTGGAGAGTGCCCAACATTACGTGGACTCAGACAGAGCTGCTCCAGATGTAAATTTGTACTGGCCAAGACAGAGTTTGCAACAAACAGGAGGTGGTCCTCGCTCTGTCATCTCTGATGCAACGTCAGAGCCGTTGTCTTCTACACCCTTGTTTGACAGTGCCCTATGTAGTCAAGTCTAAGAAGGGGCCGTCTGTCGTGATTTTAACCATCTAATCTGGACGCCAGACATCCACTCCCAAGAGAGCAGTGACAGATGTTCACAAGCGGGGCAGGGTTTCTTACGGCTGCTGCAAAAAGTGGTGCTGACCGTTAGAAATATGGGACTCTATGGAATACTGAGGTACATGTGCTACTTTTATTCACCTGTGTACACTGATTAGAAACAGCAAACAATACTTATGACTTAACTAGGACTGACCTTTCTCACTGTACTTTTGTTAGCCGCACACGCCGTTGTACTCGATCACACATTGCCTTTGTCTGATACGCTAATGGTCTCACCATCGAGTTAAAAAGGAATCATAAGAATAAATTTTGCATCAAGTATACCCTCTTAACATTATTTGTTTGGTAATGAAGGGATTTTGTGGTTGCAGTGCACAGCACAAACGATCGTGAGGACCACCAGAATCTATTAAAAATGATTGTATTGAGGGCATATTTTGTAATTTGTAGTTGCGATTTCATTTTGCCAAAAACTGCAAAATCCACTCACACTACGACCAGTTTATACGTGGCTAGGAGGGAGAAAAATTTCGTAAGCTGTGTGAGAATTTCACCTTGGAGTACGTCACTCGACAAGCCGGTCGATTCGTGACCACGTGGTGACCACGTCAGAGCTCTTGGTAGATTTATGGATAATTGTGGATCCCGAAAACTATTCATTAGCAGTCAGATTTCCAGCAAATCCCAAAGGTTTTGCCAAAATAAACATTTGCTTCCAGCGACTGCTTGGTGGTGAGTTACGCAAATGAATTCTGACAACGATTAGCAGATCATCGAGCCCTGTTGTACCCTCTTTGTGTAAAGCTTTTACAGGACACAGCGTTTCTGCTCTATTATTCACAGCTGTATAGCATATTTTTGTGGTTCGGTGTGGCTAAAATCACCGGAAGAAGAATATTTTGTAAATGTACCAAACGAATTTCAAGGTGTCTCGTTGGTAGTGCATTCCTGTTTCCTCCCACTTGAACAGACCAGAAAAAGTCAAAGTTGTCTTGAGGGAGGCCCAATAAATTATGAACCAGATAACGTCAAGTTTATTGATACTACCTCAATTTAGTGACAACTAGTGGGTGAGAATCCACTTAAATTTGGACTAGCGGTAAGACCAGTGGCACCCATCAGGTGGTGAACACATCCGGTCTCTCATGAAAACCAAATTGAGTATTTCTCGAAAACAGTCCAATTGGGGTTCAAGTAGAACATAAGGTTGACGGGAACTCCTGGACTGCGCCGACCTAATGAGCCCCATGAAGAGCGAAACCGGTCATGGGCAGTCGACAAGTTTCCAGCAACCTTGTCAATAGTTTCCTTTATGAAAACAACATATACAGTTCCAACACAGCGCCGCTGCGCACAACCGTTTTCGTTCGTCTCGATTCCTTAACCATTACCATAAATGAATGCCCTTGGTCGGCTGTCCAGCAATCACGAGATTGCCGCTCTATGCTTCTTACAGGGCTGAAATCTAGTTAGATTTAATTAGCGAGGGAAAATTAGATCTGACAACGCAGAAAATGCGTCATATTAAGGAGCAAAGCGCAAAATCGTCGGTGTGGGTGTTTGGAGGGGATGTGGCTTTTTAAATTCACATTACCCCCGTGTGAACAGTCTGGTGAGTTCATATAAAAGAAGAGCGAAGCACTAGGTTTAAGTTTTACTGTTGCTGGCAATCGTCAGCAACACATATCGTTAGCTCTGCCAGAGGCTGGTCCTCCAGACATCTGATTTGCGAAGGGGGCGTATTGTTATTACTAGCGTCTGATGTCTCAGGTATGAAAGATTGGATGTCTCAACGATTGAGTGATGTAATTGATTTGGAAAACAGCTCAAATAAAGAGAAAAATATTTGCCCTAGTTTTGCTCGTCAGTTGACCCTCCTGACCCAGTATGGCGAGACAAAAGCCAAACGATACACCAACCAGTATTAATCAGTGCGCATATTGACGATGCCCCACTAGTAGTGAAGAAGTACGTACAAGCAAACTGCCAAGCTTAGCGAGCGGAACAGCAGCCACCTGATATATAACCAGGTTTCTTGCCACCAGTAGATTCGGCCACAACGGCAGCCCACACCTAATTTTCTTTGTCAGATTACTCTCGCCTTCAGGTGGTGTGACTCGTGACTTTGGACATGACCACAGTCCAATCGATGATTTTTTCTTTTTTTTTTTGAATGTCACAAGTGTCGTCGTGGTCCCTGTTTATATCGCACATTAACACATTAACAATCTCGACAGATTGTTGTAGCTTACTGAGTTGATTTACATTATCCCGTAGAATTCTTCCCTTCTCAGCGAAAAAACTAGCTCTGGCGATTCGGCTCTGCATCGGTAAACAACTGTTTGAGTCAGTTTTAGAAGTCACGGAGAAAGTTCGCTGGTCTTCATATTTTCTCCGGAGGTGAGATGGCCCAAGTGGTTAGAGCACGAATTTACTCACCGAAAGGTCCGTGGTTTGTACCCGACCTCTGCCTCTCCACTTCCCCTGTCTAGGCCTAGGTACCCCGGCAGTATCCCAGCCCCCGTGCAAACTTCTGGTGGCACGGGGCAGTTAGGCAATGAACGGGTGCTACAGCTGAGCGATTTCATATTTTTTCCGCAGTTCTCCATGCGGCCCTGGACCTTTGGTGTCTAACAGTGCTCAACTTCAAACAGCAATGATTCGTATGCCATACTTTGGCTCTGCCCAACTAGTAGTTGATAACCCTACCTGTGATGCGAAGATTTGGTGATCACTCTCTGGGTGTCACATTTAACCCTGTATCTGAAAGCTAGCACATGTGGACTTTTAATACAAGAAAGTGTAGTTCTGCCGCTATCTTTAGTGTCGATCAACGTGGATTTTGACCACATTGTTCCGTTACTCCTATCTAAGATATCTTTCAATTCAGGGTGGACATTTTTCGCTTGATTATGAGTTCGGACATTATCGTGCCAAATTTCATTGTCGCAAGAAGTAAAGGATTCAAAACATCTGAAAAAAACCCAAGTGTCTCCAGTAGTTCTTCGTATGCTATAAGGGCACCTGAAATAGGTGGATTGTGCTGAATTTTCAACCAAACAGTTGGGGGAAAAGGTGAGTGAATTAGTCATGAGAAAAATTTTGAGTATCAATTGGTTAAAATGTTTTTAGTGACTGAAGAAGAGTTCATCCAAGTTATTTCGCCCCTTAGAAAAGCGGTCGAACAAAGCTCATTGCGGTCGCTTCTCGTTGACGTCTCTGCAAAACAAATGTGATGCTGGTGTATCCAAATGTGGAGCAAATGAACTCGTGGATTCCGCAGAAAAATATCGAGTATTTATTTCTCCTTTGTGTTCCGCTGGAAAGAACTTGGGGATGTGCAATATACCATCGAAACAAATTGGATAACTGAAGTTTCTGTAAGGTAAACGTGAAATAATTTTCTATGCATGCTATGAAAGCAGTACGTGGCGTTCAGGGACATTCCACTCCCAAAAAATGAGGAATAGTGCATGACACAACATTTGCGTGCATCGATTAGGAAAAGTGAACGGTGGAATCGCACTCCAGTCAGTATAATACCCTCACTTTTCATTTAAACTGATGTTAATGAGAAACTTAACTGAAACAAGGCTCCATGTTACGTCCGTGATATTCTTAAAGTTAATTACTGCAAAAGTATCTCCTCATGGTTAATGAAAACCAATGGACTGCGCCCACTCGATGAGCTCCTGGAAGATTGAAATTGATTGTGCGCTGTCAAGAGTTTTCCCCACTTTCTCAAGTACGCTATGGATATCTTACAAGTGTTCTCTTTCAGGTAAATTGAGATGCATTTATTCTGGATCCCAATTGTGTTTAGACATTTTAAGCAACCGAGTAAAGAATTTGTGGCGCTATTTCCTACCCGAGCGTTGGTTAATCATACAGCTGATCGGCCGTTTGTAGCCGAACGGCTAAGTGTTCAAACTACCAGCCAGGAGATGTCGTGGGATGTGCACCGCAGATGAACTGAGGAAACAGCTATACAGAGATTCTCCGTTTTTCAGCATAGATTAGCTTCACTTTTAGGACTGTTCAGTAAATTACCTTTCAAATCTCTTACTTTTGCGAGTCTGCGTCCCGACGTTATCGAATCCCGCTTACTGACAGATCGTCTGGATAACAATGTTTGGGTTGGTGCACTTTGGGAAGTCTGCCGCCAAAGAGTAGTCCTTAACAGTTCTGATTAGCTGCACGAAATGTTTCATTTGATCGAAAGTCTAATATCAGTCGATTATTATCTATGAAAATCGGACTGGCATATTTAACTAAGGCGGTTGCAATCCATCTGCGCAACGTTTGTAATTCCACGAAACCTATGCGAAATTTGAACTTATGCCGATCCCTCACCCCTGTTTTTTTCGACAATGACCTGACCTTTTGGATACACTGGATCCTTGGCCTTCAGCCCCCATTTGTGTATCCTGTATCAGGCCATGTTCTCATACGGCATAAGGCCAGAAGGTTAGGAGCCGGAAACACGCCTTGTTCACTTGACCGCGTCCTCGAAGGTGGAAGACTGGCGCGAATGAAAATATGAGGCTAAATGGCAGAACGTGATCTTCATAACTGAGATTCTGACTGAAGTGAATGGATTGGAGGACAGAAATGCCACTTACTGGACAAAATGTAAAAACAAATAGAAAAATACAAAAACACAAAAAAACAATAGTTTTCCACAGCCAGGGCAAAAGCTGAGGAACATAGTGGAGCTCCACCATTTTACGCCCCAATCAATCGCTGATTGAGGCTGCGAATTTTCTTCCCAGATATGAATATCACTCGCACAACAACGTTGTCAAATTTTCTGCCATTTTGCACATGCAGAGGGGTGGATTTAATCTTTTGAATTCCAAAAATCTTACACATAATTTAGGTTTCTCGAAAAATGAGGAGGGCAATTCCGAAAACTCCAGTAAAGTGTGTACTTCGGTAATTTTTTTTACCTTTC